CTGCTTAAATGGGAGCAAAATAGATAAAATAGATACTACATATAATTTGTCATATACATGCATAAGAAAATGATAGATAAAATAGATACTACATATAATTTGTCATATACATGCATAAGAAAATGGCTTGTGGCTATACAACAAAACATTAAAATATTTTTGTTAAGAATAGTTAGATAAAGCAATGTTTGTTTGTTTTTCTATTTTCTAAATTTTCTACTGTGAGTGTATGTAACTTTTTGTAAGTAGAGAAACAGTGTTATTCTGGCATCAAGGTAACTATATTATTTTTGTTTGTTGTTAAGTGCTATGGAGTCAGTTTTTACTCAGAATAACTCTGCAGAGAGTTTCCAAGATGTGGCTGGTTGGCGTAAACAGTCAACCTTGTAGCTAGTAGCCTGGTGCTTATCCTACAGCACCATACTGGGAATTCAACTATATTATTAGTTGCTGTTACAAGTTGAGAAATATGAAAATTAAACAAAAATATTCTAAATTTACTTACTGCTGATATACCTTTAAAATATGTACAAATTTAAAATAAATGTGCCTATATAATTTGTAGCTATTATGTTTTTCTGGTAGCATAGTGGTTACGAATTGGACTGCTAACCTCAAGGTCGGCAATTTGAAAGTCACTTCTGCAGGAGAAAGAGGAGGCGGTCTGCTCCCATAAAGATTTACAGCCTTGGAAACCCTGTGTAGGGTCACTATGAGTCAGAACCGACTTCATGGTATTTAACAACAACAACAATTATGGTTTTAAGGAGCTCTGGTAGCATAGTGGTTACGAATCAGGCTGCTAAACGCAAGGTCAGCAGTTCGAAACTACCAGCTGTTCCACTGAAGAAAGATGAGGCTTTCTGGAGCTCTGGTAGAGTGGTGGTTATGAATCGGGCTGTGAACCGCAAGGCCAGCAGTTCGAAACTATCAACTGCTCCGTGGGAGAAAGATGAGGCTTTCTGCTCCCATAAAGATTTACAGCCTCAGAAACCCTGTTTAGGGTCACTATGGGTAGGAACCAATTTGACAGCACTTAACAACAACAAAGATTTGCAGCCTCGGAAACCCTGTACCAGGGTCACCATGAGTCAGAACTGACTCCACGGTACTTAACAACATTGTGTTTTTGTATCCATTTCCTCCAAAAACATCATGTGCATTTGTCAACTTAATTTAGATTCAATGTCAGTAAAGACTGAAATAATCAACTTTGATTCCGAACATTTGTTGGGAAGAATCAAAATGTTATGATTTCTTTTATTATTTCCTAGGTAAAATATATATTGTAAAGTATCCTGGACAATATTCTGACCATTTACATGCTAATATAATAGATCTGTTTTGGAAGAAGTGCAGCCAGAGTGCTCCTTGGAGGCCAGGATGGCTAAGCTTCGTCTCTCCTACTTTGGACATATTGTCTGGAGGAAACAGTCGCTGGAGAAGGATGTCATGCTGGGTAAGGTGGAGGGTCAGAGAAAAAGAGGAAGACCCCTAACGAGATGGATTGGCCAGGTGGCATCATTGATGGACTCAAGTGTGGCGGTGGTAGTGAGGTTGTTCCAGGATCGGACATTGTTTCATTCTGCTGTGCATGGGGTCGCTATGAGTCGGTTCTGACTCGATGGCAACTGACAACAACAACAACAACAACATAATATATATATCACATGTGAAAACCAAGTTTGTTGTCGTTAAGTGCCATCGAGTCTATTACAATCCATAGCAACCCTGTATAGGGTTTCTGAGGAGCAGCTGGTGAGCTTAAACCGCCAACCTTGCAATTTAAACGACTTTGCAGTCTGACGCATTAACCCACAGCGCTACACCAGAACTCCAAAAAACAAGTTAGTGAAGTATGATTTAGTAAAAGTAAATTTTAAATAGTAAGGTAAAAGAACTAACGTTAGAAAACGTATTCTGCTCCTGCTATTTAATATACATTTTATTTAAGCTTCAGAATCTTCTAAGTAGGTAGGTAGTGCTGTTGTTGTGAAGTGCCGTGGAGTTGATTCAGACTCATAGCAACCCTATACCTGGTTTCCAAGGAGCAACTGGTGGGTTTGAACCACCAACCTTGTGCTTCGCAGGCCAGTGCTTAACCTATAGAATCACACCAAGAGTCCAAATTAAAGTCTACATCTTCCAGGTATCGAAACCAAGTTCAGAGAGATTAAGAAACACACTCAAGACCACACAGTTAATATGTGATGGGAATGGAAATTGAATCTAGCTCACACTCTATCATATTCATTCCATTACTCCATAGGGCCTCATAAGAAGACTCAGTATTGAACATACATTCCAGGGCAAAATACAGTACCTGAGACCTTGACTCACTAATATTTACTGATCATCTACTATGTCTAAGTGTTTTATTAGACCCTCTTCCTGAATTCATTTGCATTAAAATCCATCAAGTGTATTAATATCTGAAGTGTTAAATTTCTTAATGCTATATATATTTTTGAATCACTATATACATTTTTGAACTGCTCCTCGGAAACCACATACAGGGTTGCTATGAGTTGGAACCAACTCAACAGCACTTAACAACAATAACAATAAACATTTTAATATTCTAGCATTATCTACTGGACTGTTAACCTCAAGGTTGGCAGTTCAGACCTACTAGATGCTCCTCAAAAACCCTATACGGGGTCACTATGAGTCAGAACTGACTCAATGGCACTTAACAACAATAACATCTACATTTCTCACATAAAACAAGGACCAGCATTATAGTTTCCACTGAAAAAAAGTCTTACATTTCAATAAGAAAAATGGGAATGAGTCATAATACTTTTGAGTCAAGTTCTCTGAAACTGACTAGTCTAGCTCCCCAGGTAAACCTCTGAGGAAACTGAGATCCAGAGAGGTAAAGTGGTTGGCTTGTTAGGGTGAGCAGACTAGAATTTAGGTCTCCAGCTTTCCAGTGCAATACTCTTTGTCCTCTCCAATGCTTTCTCTCTAATACATGTTTAATTATTAGCTATATCAGACCCTACTTCCAAAGAGATTTGAAACTTCTTAAAACACGCATGCAGACCAAGGTTAAAATTCATGATAAGAAATCAAGAGAGAGGGCACCTAAAAATATGAAGATGAAAATAAAATGCATGCCACAAATGCCTGTATATTTGCTGTTCAAATTTATTTGTCCAAAGAAATATAAAAAGCAAAGATATTTTAAATCTACTATTTAAAAGACAGAACTTCAATAAAGAAAAGGAATAAGAAGACTGAAAGTTTGCACAAGTGTTCTTTTTTTTTTTTTTATCAAATGCTGTTATATGCTGCGTTTCCTTCAGTAGAAGCATAGTCTTAAGATCTTTCTCCTTCTCAATGTTTTTTTTTCTGGCATGGGATGAATATTTGCAGAAAACAGAATTGCTGGGATTAAGTACTTAAGTGTAGTAATATAATATCCACCTATATAATAAATAGCAAAGAGAGAGTTCCCATTTTTTACTAAACAAAACTGGAATCTGCTTACCTCTGATTACAAAGCTGACATGCAAAGCAGTCCAGGTGGTAAACATTGTCCTTGGCACGCATCACCATCTCAAAGGCAGGGATGAGCTTACTACAAGCAGCACAGTTTCCCGTTACACCGAAGAGCCTAGAACAACAAACCGTTTTCAGACTCTTAGAGGGAACTAAAACTGTGAACAGGAAAGACCATAATATACCCTGTAAAGCTATCACTACATGATGCCTTATGATGTACACAAGTGTGTCTTATTTTCAGTGTATAAAAAATATTCTTCTGCAATGCATTCTCATTTGACCTTTCCTGATGAAAGAAAAAAACTTGTTTGAGAAGAAAAGGCAAAGACAAATACATTAGGCAGTTTACAGAATCACCTACATACAGAAATCAATTAGGTTGAATCCATGGCAAAATTCTTCCACTTATTAGAGCATACAGTAAATGTTAGAGCAGAGTAACTTTGATCTTAATGCCACATAGTAAACATTTTAGTTGAAAAAGAAACTCACTTGAAAGACTTTTATTATTTTATTTTATTTTTTTTTACATCAAGGTACTAAAAGGTTTGCCATTATTATTAAGAGAACATTTATGAACAAGTCATTTAAATAGTCAAAAAACATTAGAGGCGCCTGCACCTTATGGCCCTATACCATAGTTATAGCTATGATTATGTTATTCAGGTAGCACATTAAAGTAAATGAGGCTGTAAACTATATATAGCAGACTAGGTATTGAAGCATAATATACTGTAAGAACCACTGGAATTGTCGGGGAAAAAGGTGTTTAAAAAAATCCTATTTGCTGTAGATTTCTGAAAATAGTTTCTGTAATGACCTAAAAAAAAAGTACAAAATAAAATGTCTATAGAGTTTCACCATAGGAGGAAAAAATATTTTATCCATTTGCACCTGCAATATTCAAGCCAAGTTTATTTAGAGTTGTTAATGGTGGTAAAGAATTACTATAAATAATATTCTGTGCATAATAGTTAATGCACTTTTTAACTAGGAAGGAAACTAGATGAAAAACACCACATCTGCCAGTTCTCTTTTTTCTCCAGCATCAGGCTGACAGGAGAAAAATATAATGGCTCTCATGGGAAAGACCAAATTAAAAGCAGTTCTAAACTAATGAATTCAAAGGTGCTATGCAGAAAACTCATTTTAGTTATAAAAATGTACTTTACAAAATCTTAGCCTTTCATTTTATTGAATTTAAGGATTATGCACAAATGTGAAGTTTCTCTTCTTATTACTTCCTCTGTGCTTCAAAGATTTGTCTTTGCTTAAGGCATGTATATTCATTTTCAAGTTTATAACTATTTCCTCTTACCAAACTAATGATAATTGTTGGAAACAATTGTGAGAAATATTTGTAAGTGTCTGGCAAGATGTATAAAAAATGTTTATGCTCTTGCTTTTGTAAATTGTCTCTTTGAGGAATATAAGCGTCTTGAGGGTAGACAATGTAAATGTTTTTTCAACAGTCTGCTAACCTAATCTGTGTGCTTGATAACAAAATTAAGGAAGGTCAATATATGCAAGAAACTTAAATTCATAATCATTAGACCCTTATTTTCCTTAAAGAATTTTAAAGAACATTTATTTAAATACGCTTGCCTTAAGAAATACAATTCCAATAACCTTTGTTTTCTTAGGTTTTAGTCTGAGAAGTACTTTGAGAAACCTAAACTAAGAAATAACATTTTGAGAAATAATATCTCTAAGAAGAATTCACTGAAAATGTAATATCTTGCATCTCTACTTGCATCATTAAACTAGAAACCACCAAAAACTAAAGCTTTCATCCTACCCTTTTGTAAAAAGGTTTTAGTTCATGTTAACATCTCACATTTACTTTTCAGTGTGCTTTGCATGATCAATTCTGGAATCCTATCACTTATTTGTGGGCCGTTTGTTTTGTTTGTTCTTTAATATATTCTTTAAGAAAGAGGAAATTTTAGAGTTTTCTATTCATGAATATAGATATATGTTTGAGTATAAAATCTGGTTAATATGAGATAAAGCAGTTTTCAGGAATTATTCAGTTTGCTTATACCTAATAAACATACACACACAATGCCATTTTGAAATTCTGGACATAGTTTCCCCCAATTTCAATTGCTCTCGCTAGCTGAGCATTTATCAGCTACCTGATTAGAATTTGTTTCCACACAAACCATTGATCATCAGCCTATTACTAGGCAAATGACAGTTAATTACCCACTACATTAACCACTGGGACCTGAGACCTGCTTCTGCTGCCATCAGTCAACATGATAAATGTGGCAAGTTCAGTAATGCATGGCCAGCCCTGAGCTGCCTGCTATACTGTGAACAACCCTCAATCTCACTTCCAGGCCCAGGAAAATCTATGGCAATCTGCATAATTACAAGCTCTGGGTTAATAACAGACAAATGATTTGTTACATCTAAACAAAGTCCTTGGAATGGGCCTGGTCTCTGGTGACTGCCCGTACTGCACGCTGCCACTAGTGTAGTTTCCAGTACAATGTGCACAAAACAGCTCTCTGATGCTATAGCCTTCCAATTTGTTGCCCTCCAATTTATGGATTCTGCATATGTGATTTTTAATCATTAAAGGACTCTTGAAGCAATATTATCTTAATTATTCTCTGCTGTAACCAGGGAATTAGGTTTCAGATAAAATTTTCTTCTTCCACGCACTTTCCCTGCCTCACTGGAGGCTCCATCAGTTTCCATCTACACCTGGACTCTGAAATCCTAATGATGAATTATTGCCCCTTTTCCTAAGAGGGCGAACCTTACAAGGGAACATTTTACTGAACTGTCAGCTCGCAGACTGAGTGCGGAGATGCGGAAATCTGATCTAATTTACTGCAAAACGATGCATTTGTTAGACTTTTTTTTTCCCTTCTCAGTTTTGTCCAAGGATCAAGAGATCATTCTATAACCACATGTTCTCCTTTTTATTTATTTATTTTTTTTTTCAGTGAGACAAACACAAAATTCTTCTAGGAAAGGAAGCAAAGTACAATTTTATAAAACAGAATTCTCAAAAAAAATATGTTATCTTTTAGTTTGCAAATACAACATTTGTATTCTCAGGCAAAAGTATTTTCATATACACCAGTTAAGCTGAACTAATCTGTAAGATTTTTTTCCAGATATTTATCTAACAAATATTCAAGAACAATCTCTTATCTAATTTATTTATAACCCCAGAAATCCCTGCTACGCTTCTTTTTTACTCCTCACTCTCAGACTCAATACAAAGATGTTAACATTGATCCACTGTTCTGTTTAAACTAGAGATCTCTGTAAAATCTTGTTTACAGTGCTTATACAATCTCACCTTTTACATAAAGCCTAAGAGTTCTTAGGAGTACATGACAAAAAAAGAGATTTAAAGATGGAAGTCATTGTGAGATTTTGTCCTAAATTAATCAGAGTACCATCTCTACGGATTCCTGGTGTGGCCCTGTAAGATGAGCACTGGATTGCTAACCACAAGTTGGTGGTTCAAACCCTCCAGCTGCTCCTTGGAAACCCTATACAGGGTTGCTATGAGTCAGAACCAACTCGACAAAATATAATAACAACACTGTCTCTAAACTTATGGAAGGAAAACAAAATAAGATAATTGATCTACTTTGCTCATTTTAATATGTGTTATGTGGTGGACTGCTAACCACAGGTTGGTGGTTCAAACCCACCAGCCACTCCACAAGAGAAAGATGAGGCTGCCTGCTCCTGTTAAAGATTTATAGTCTCTGAAACCCTATACAGGGTCACTATGAGTCAGAATCAACTCAAGGGTGGTGAATTTTGGGGTTTGGAGGGGGGGTTATATATTATAAAATTATAAAACTAAGAGAACAAAACAAAACGAAATTCCAAACACACTCATAAATACCCTGTAGGACAGAATAGACAGAATTGCTCCATTAGGCTTCCAAGACTGTAAATATTTGTAGAAGCAGGCTATCATACCTTTCTTCTACAGGGTAGTTGGAGTGCATCTGAGCACTTCAACCACTGTCTCATCAGAGCTCCTTATTAAGGCTTGCCAAGGGTTAATTTGTCAATTTATGGGGCTAGTCTGTGTGTTTACATACTCATACCCATAATGGTCTTTTTTGTAATAAAATAGCCTTCTCTTGTTTCTGACACATTAACCAAAGTAGACTTACAATATAAAAAGTGACAACTACCATCACAGACTGTTATTGTTTTTAAGTGCCATTGAGTCAGTTCCGACTCATCACAACCTGTATAGGGGTTACAAGGAGCAGCTGGTGAGCTCGAACCGCCAGCCAACCTTATGGTTCAAACAGACCTTGCAATTCAATGCATAAACCTGCATTGTAACACCAGGACTCCACAATCATACTATCAGTTCATATTCCTATTTACAGGAACCCCAAAGGCTACATCTGTCCTTATTCTGCTCCACTTTAGCTACCTGGTATTATGTCTCTAAAGAGAGACATAAAGATAAAAACCAGACAACTTTCTTATAAGTAAAAACTCAGTCTACCTATATACTATATAAAGCATCCCGTACACTAGTGAGCTTGCATAGAGCAATTTGATTTCATAATTTTTGTGTACATGTGATACAACAACAGCTATGAACATATTCATTTATGTGTTGCAAAGGTATCTGTAAAGCATTTAGGAAATATTTGACAGCTTTGTTGCATTGTCATGAATCAGGAGAAGTTTGTACGGTTAGCATATGTCCATTCCTAAAGTTCCTGGGAATAGAGAAAAACTAAAGACGTAATTATTTAACAGCAGTAATGAATATGGTTTATTACAAGCAGTAGGTAAAAATGAGTGTTCATTGTATTAGTGTTTTTTATTTTATAGCACCTGATGTTTCTATAGATTTTTTTTTACCAGGTCAGTGGCTCAAGACACTAAATCAAATTCTTCACAGCCAATGAAAGCATAATATTTGACTCAAATTCATTTACTATTTGAGGGAAAATAGATAAATAAATAGCACTGCAGTAAACCTCAATTCTGAACAAAAATCAAACTTTCTCTTCTTGAATTCAGGCAATTCTCATTTAGTGATTTGAGTACATAGGAATGTAACAGTAAATTTTAAAATGATATAGAGGATAATACTTAGTA